CATTCAGGAGACACAAGGCCTCCATTTATTAATTTTTGTTTTATTTTGAACACCATGTAAAAAACCATTTACTTCAACTTCTTTAACTGTTTACCTTACTACTAATTTACCAAAACACTGCTGTTATTTACAGAAAGATGATAAATTAGTGTAGGAAGGAAGGAAAAGTGAAAATATGAAGTAGGCTAGAGTCAAACAGCCAAAAGATCAACTTCAGCCCTATCCTTTATCACCTATGTAATCAAGTTAGTTAACCTCTCTAATCTGTTTCCTCCTTTGTAAAATTAGTATTTTAAGAACACTCTCAAGACTAGCAATGAATCTCAGTGGGAAATCACCTTCTGGGTACATCCAAGGCCTCTGGTTTTATCCCCAGCACCACACATGCACACACACAAAAGAGGAAGGAAAAGATCACTTCTTACCCAAGAAGAAGCTAAAATTAAAAAGACAATAAGAATAGTTGGCAAGGAAGGGGAGTAATTGGACCCTGGCACAAATGTAAAATGGTGTGAAGAGTTTCTCAAACAGTAAACAGAGCTGTAATATGACATAGCAATTCTACTCAAGTTTCTATTGAAGAGAAATGAAAACCCATACCTACACAAAAACTTGTACATGAATATTCATACTCACAGATTCCAAGTAAACAAAAAGTGGAAAAATCCAAAAATTTATCAACAGGTGAATGGAAAAATAAGAGGAAATTAAGTTCTCATGGATGAAACCTGGAAACATCAAGTTTAAGAAAGTTAGTCACAGAGGATCACTTGTAATATGATCCCATTTATGTGAAAGGTACAGAGAAGGAAAGCAGATCAAGATTGCAGAAACAGGAGGGACTGGGGCGACAGATGATTAAGGGGTGCAGTGTAGGGGTGGTAAAACAGTGCTCTAAAATTAATAGTGGAAATGAACACATGACTGAATATACTAAAATCAATGAAGGGTACAATTTAAATGTTCAAAGTCTATGTGAACTGTATTTAAATGCAGCTGTTAAAAAATTTGTGGTGTCTTATCACAGGGCTCTTGGTAAGTTATTTGCCTTCTCTGGGCCTCGATTATATCTCAGGTAAAATGAGATCATTAATATTACCTAAAAAAAACAATTGGGGTTAAAAACACTTAGAATGGAGCCTGAACATATGAAGTACTCAATACACAATCCCATGAGCTAAGTGTTTTATTATTCATTTTACTAAAGTGCAGAGATTCAGTCACTTGCTCCAGACCACACAGCTGGAAACAAGGTGGGAGACATGAAGAGTCTACTTTACAATTACTGTGAGAAACACACACTGAGCTATGTAACTCCTGCTATACAATACTTAATAAATTTGAACATCAGCTATGAGGACAATAATAATAATCCACTGCAAATTTTGTCATTGTTAAGAAACAAATATGCAAGCTGTATTCTGCCTCCTACAATTCTAAGGAGCCTATTACCAAGGCCTCAAAAGTATATCATATTCAATTTAAAACACACACGCAAGCACGCACGCACGCACACACACACACACACACACACACTTTTTAAAACACATGGTAGGTCCCAGAAGAATTTCACAGCAATGAAATGTGCCCTCCTAAATAATCATAGGAACCTGGCTTTGAGAGTCTCCTGCCCCAATTCTCCTCACCCATCCACCCTCACTGCCCTCTAAAAAGCTTTCTGACTCTGTCTCACCGGCCGCACCAATACTCAGGGTATGACCTCAGCTCCACACAGAACCCGTCTTTGTCCCCCTGTTACTGCAGGGTACCTACCTGGTCAGCATTTCTCCTTGGCCTCTGTGCAATGCTAACCCTCACCAACAGAGGGCACAAAAGAGATGTGCAGGGACTGTAAAGACGGTTCCCTTGACAAGTCTTTGGTTTTTTGTTTTTTGGTTTTTTTCCCTACCCAAGGCATGCAGGAGACCCAAAAGGTGGCTTTCTGTGAACCCACTCTGGCCTAGCTGAATCCTGGACAGGGGCACATGTTTCCCCTCTAAATCCCTATCTTGGGTATTCTCCCTCTCTCTCAATCTTACAGGTAGTAGCTTGCTCTCCACTTCCAGTAATTAAAAACCTTTTACTATTTAATTTTTTGTATTAAGTTTTCCTTGATCAAATTTCTCTCTTGACTGGACCCTGATTCATGTCACACACCAGACACTCTCACTATCTTGGGAGAGATAGGAGATGGAATTTTTCAGGCACTACAGTATTTACACCTAGTGTTTGATTTTTTTAAACATTAAAGAGAACACGGTAGGTGGTTTTAAACATCACATTTAGTAGCTAAAAAGAAAATGATGCTGCTTTCTAACACATTGTATTTTTAAGACGTATTAGATTATGTTATTAGATCTTTTTTTTTTTTTTTTTGTACCAGGGATTGAACTCGGGTCCTTGCACTTACGAGGCACATGGCAGCACCACTGAGCTAAATCCCTGGCCCTTAGATTTTTTAAATCAATAGTACATTTAATATCTTGCACTGCATACTGTAGATACTGGAAAAATTAATATGTTTTATTTCACAATTATCAAAACTTCAGAAATGAAGAAATAATTACAGAATTGCCCAACATGGGATATGCAATCTTATCTTCATCCACCAGAAGAACTGTATTTCTAAAGAACTGCTATTGTTGTAAATCAAATGCTACCAGTCATCATCACCAATGGAAAAAAAAAAGATAAAAATCTGTGAGGTTTTTTTTTAGAGAGAGGCATTTCTTTAATAAATCAAGTTAGTAAATAACTTGCATCCTTCACTGAATAAAAAAATTGCAAAGCATAGTGACATAAAACTGTAATTCCAGATACTCAGAAACCTGAGGCAGGAAGATCACAACTTACAGGATCTTGTCTCAAAATAAAAAATAAAAAAAGGGCTAGGAATATAGTTTGTGGTAGGGGACACCCCTGGGGTTCAATCCCACCACCTCAAAACAAATTTCTGCCTACCACATAGCAAACAATGGATCAGGTATTGTGGACATAAAGATAAAGAAAGAAATCTTGGTTTATTTAAATATGTAGAAAAGAGAAAATATAACTTGACAATTGGCTAGTATGTTTTTACCTGTAGTTCTCCACATCAGCTGAAAAACAAAACAGATAAAGTAGAAACACTTAGGATTAAATAATAATAATAATAATAATGTAGAAGAAGTTAATAATTGCTGCAATTTAAAATTTAAGTTTAAACTGTTGCAATTTCTTAAATGCTTTACAAAAGTACAAAGAGCCAAGTTTCTTTCCCTAAGTGAATTCTTGTGACCTGGAAATATAAACATGCAACCTCTAACACACAACATTTTCTGCATTTGACTACGGCAAAAAATGCTGGGTACAAACAGAAAAGCAATGAATTCGGAGGCAGGGAGACTGGGAACATTTGTCTGGGTCTAGAATAGGCAGTGCAAGCAGAGGACGTGAAAGAGCATCATGTACAAAAGCAAAGATGCAGGCAGAGACTTGGAGAGTAAGGGGCAAGCTGGACTAATAGGCATGTTCAGAGTAGAGTTTCAGACAGGTGCAGGGAAAAAAGCCAACAGTAAAACACAACTTAAACATTTTAAAAGGCTGATCACATATCTACCAACAGCCTCGGTAAAGCATCACAGTATCACAAGGGGAATACTTATAGCCCTAATAGTATTGCTTCCTCTTCCTTTTTCTTTGCCAGTTTCTAAAGAGAAAGTCCAGCTATTAGTGTCGGTGCATAAGATTCACGGACACCGCTAATCCAACATGGTCAAGACTTTAATGGGAAAGGTGACATTGACAACGCACAATGAGGTAGATAGCACTGTTAAAAGGCACACGAATGCTTAGGTATCAGAGGTTGGATGCTCCTCACCAAATAGCACTTGTGAATTAAAGGGACACAGTATACCATGCCCTGACCCCGCCCTCACTTGGGGTCCACTCTGTTTTGTGCCAGCAAAGCAAGAGGTAAGGTAAAAAGCTCTTAATTCGTTGGTCACATTTTGTTTGCCTATTAAGGCTGAGGCAAGAATAACTTCCTCCTCTTATGTAAATCAATTACCTGTTTCAGGTTTCAACATTTTCATCAAACAATATACATGTTAGGAAGCTAAAATACACATTCAATTTGAGTATACTGACATGCTGGTTTCTACCACAGATCAAACGGAATGATGACTGCATTTCTACAACATTCAACAATGCAAAAGAGGTAAAAAGCCCCACAAGAGTAGAGGATGGAACACAATAATACGTATGACTGGAGGTAAAACTCAAAACCAAAAGAGGTAAGGCCTGACCAACACCTACCTAGAACCCAACCACTCACCCAACACTGACAATACTTTTAACGCGAAAGGTGAGCTTGACAGTGCAGAAAGAGGCAGACAGCACTGGAAAAGGCACATGACGGGGTCCTTGCCTTACAGGTAGGGGCAAAGGAGTACGACATACACAGGAAACACCAAGAGCCATAATGCTGATTCCATGAAGGGAGGGCAGGAGAATGGAGACAAAATAAGAACCAAGATAGATTATGTGAAGGTGCACATTTCCAATGATGAATGTCTTATTTTATACCTAAAATGCACCAATAAAATTAATTTTTAAAAATACTGATTCCAGAACTTCTGAGCATTCAAGGAGCATCTCCCACCATGGACTACTCCAGATTTAACCATATGCTTCACTTGTTAACAGTAAGAGGGAAAAAAAGCTTCCATGTTCAATTGTTTTTTTTTAAAAGCACTAGACTAAATAGAACTAGTTTCTATTCTGCAACGTTCCTCAGAATGTTTAATGACTAATGTACCCAGGAATCCCAAAGGGAAAAAAATTACACAGCATTTCCAAAATTTTTTTCACGAGACTACTGTCCTGTCTCATGGTTCAGAAGAACCACTGCATGACAGCATGGAAAAGTTCAACGATAAGAGTTTATAAACAAACACATAATTTATCAGGGGATACAGAAAACTCAGACCCTTCAAGAGAAACGAGGAAGAATTCATTACCTTATGGTGGCCGTCCCTGTGACACTCCTTCTGTACCATTTCCAGAAGGTTCAGGGCCAAATGCTGCCTGGAGGAACCTTCTCCATCCACAGACATACAGTCTTCCAAAGCAGAGGAAGACAATATCTGAAGAAGTGGCATCACGAGCAGCAGAGAAGACTTTGGGATTTTCTGACCCTCAGTCAAAGAGAGAAGCTTCAAAGCTAAGCATCAAAGCAACAAAAATTTACATTTTTAAAATTAATGGCACAGTCAAATAACGTACTATTTTAAGAGTGCCATGCCAAAGATTTTACTTGTCCTTTTACTACTGAGTCAGATGTATGAGTAGGATGATAAATCTCATTGTAAAAGGAAATAAAATAAGCTGTTAATATATTTAACTGAAAAACTGACAATATGCTTAGAGAAAATACATATCATGTATCATGTGGTATAAATCAATTGCCTTTTAGGTCAATATGAATTAATACAATTCAACAAGTATCCTTCATAATTTCTCAATGCCTGTTATTGCCCTCAGCAAACAGCCAAGAGCCTAAAAATTCCTTATGAGTGGATAATGACACCAATATATATGCTTCTCTCAAAAGATGAAAATTATTTAGCAGGTGCTTAAGTGAACAGCAAGGTAAATCAAGACTGCCTTCAGTTGAAATTGGTAAGAAGCAGATTACAAAACCCTAAAGCCCATAACCAGCATACTAAACATAGCCATTTTTAATAATGGATTCCATTTCTTTTACCATGGAAACAACTCACACAACAGAAACACATATACAAATGTATAACTTAATTGCATGTGCAATCTCCCTGAGAAAATTAAGAAAATTAATCAAGGCATATATTCTTTTCACAGTATTTCTGAGGTTACTGAATGAACCTTGATTTACTGTTTAGCTGTTATTTACAGGCTTCAAAGCTAAATTATCAAAATAGTCAAAATGATTTCCCCTACAGACACACACACTCCATAAGCTTTAAATCAAATCATGAGTTGTCACTGTTTCACTTAGAAGCATTTTGAAGTCAAACCTTAACATGTTCTGAAACACAAACAGTTTGTTACTCTAAGACTATCAACTTACCTTTACTGTCTAAATATTAGTGTTAATGCACAACTGTTTCTGGGATATTGTCTCGGGATATACAGTCACCACTGTTTATTTATAATCAAGGTGTTATGGTTTGGATCTGGACACCTCCCCGAGCCTCGTGCAGGCAGAGGCTGTTCAATCCGGAATGTGTGACAACTGCACCACTACCTGCGAGTGAGTGGCTGGGCAATGCCCTGATCCAGGCAGTCTGGACAGGAAAAGGGTAGAGAGACACAGTACATGTCCCTTGTCACCTTTGCTGCCTTCTGTGCATCCTGTTTTGTCTCCTCTGTGATGCCTGCTGGCCGTCTTGACCTCAGAGCCAGCTGATTATGGAAAGAAACCTCTACAAACTGTGAGCCAAATAAATCTTCTCCCCTTCAACTTCGGGTGTCGGGTATTTTGTCTCACCAACAACAGAAAAGTAACTAACACACAGGCTCGTGTTAATAATCACAAAGCATAATACTATACTAATACTGTGCAGTTTTAAAATGTTGAAATAATCATTCTTCTCTTGGCTATCATAATTCTTTGAATCTACATTCCAAATATACTAAACACATCTTCCTTGCCTTTCAACATAATACACTGGCTCAAAAGTTCTCAGTATGCTAATTAACCTAACCAAGGTAACTTCAAAACAAACACTGCTTTCCAGGAGAAAGTAAAGGTATCTAACAAATAATAAAAGTTTTTGAGGGCTTGATCTTGTACCACTTCTATTACATATACACAAGCCACAATTAGAAATGTAGTTTCTCTATGGCTTTGGAAATTGTCCAAAAACAAATAAAATCCTTATAGAAACATCCAGAAAAGACAAATCTACAGAGATAAAAGGCAGATTAGATTAGTGTTTTTATCTTGGGCTAAGAGAATGAGAACTAACAGAAATAGGCACAAGAAACTGTAGGGGAATGATAGAAATGTTCTAAAAAAGATTACCATATTATTTGTATGTTGCTATAAATTTACTTAAAATATTGTGTCATACACTTTAAATAGTGAATGTCATGTTATGTAAACTATACTTTAATAAAGTAGTTTTACGAAATAATAAAGTATAGCAGTCTTAAGTAGCAACACTAGTAAATTATACCTCTAGGAAGATCCCATGTGTACTTTTACAGAGGAAAAAAAAAAAAAAGAAAGAAAAAACATCACAAGACTGATGAGGAGCAGGAAGAAGCACACTTGCCTGAAGGCTGTTAGAGAAAAGCAGACTTGTACTCAAACTGTGAAAGCCAAGGGTCTACACCATGTGCTAAAGCCATTTCTAGGCATAAGCGAAAGAACAATCTGACCTCAAAATCATGCTGAATTAAAATGCCTGAAGGAATGAGCTATACACTAGATACTGATCTCAAGCACTTTGTAAAAACAAGGATGGGAAAACATCAACATATCACGGCACTACACAACATAATTTAGGCCCATGCCCCATTGCTACTTGGATTGTACTGGAGCAAGCAAAGGGAAGCAACATAATGAAAAAGCCACATTATTTTTTGGTATATTATGTTATTAATATTATATTATGTAATGTCTTGTGTTATATAATAATCTTATTTTTTATATTATAATACAAGTTACACAGCAAATTTTGGTATATGGAATCTTGTACAAGATAATGCCTTAAAGAAAAAAAACTCTACTGGGTAGAGATTAGGAAAATTTCAGAACAGAAACACAAAGTATACAGGATATCATGATAAACAATTTAAATCACTCCTGCCAACACTTGTGTTATATTTTATGCTATGTATTTTTATTTACCTAGATGTAAGATTGGTTTCTGCTGACTTGCCGGTGTCTGTAGAAGAAGTAAAGCTATTCCGGTAATAATCCATTCAACAGGAAAATCCTGAAACAAACAAACAAACTAGTTGTTGAAGAGATACCTAGAACTATGGCTTTAAAACATGTATCCAAAAAGAGTATATTTTACCATGAACAATTGCCAACTTATATAAAACTCCTTATACAAATCTATGTTAAAGAATTGGTAGCTGCCACACAGACAGAAATAAATTTAAAATAGTTTATGATATGGCCAAAAAAGCAACAGACTAAAACCAAAACAATTGCAGAGAAACTGCTTCACACAACAAATTAACCACTCTTTAAAGCAGCCAATCATTGCAAACCATTGAAAATTACTTGAATGTGGAATTTAAAAATAATTCATTTCTGAAAGGTAATTCAATTTCTCTACTTACCTAGTATAGACAAGATCTATATAACTTGCATAATGAATTACATTAAACACATTTTAATAAATCATTACAATAAAAGATATTACTGGCAGAGAAGCAGAGATTATTTCTAAATTACAAAAATGTATTAAGCATATTTAAATGTAGCATCACCATAAAATCACTAAGTTCAACAAGAAAAACAAAATGAACAAAATACATGCACATTAAGTCCGAAGAAAATGCAAATGACATGTCATTTCAAGAGTTTAAAGAAAATAATGCACTATCTTAAAAGGCCAAAAAAAGCTCCAAGTAAAGTATTTCAAGTCCTAAAAGCAAACAACTTCTAATACAGAATTATGTATCCTACAAAACTATCTTTCAAAACTGATAGAAGCATAAGGTACTTTCATGACAAAGAGCACCTTAAAAAATTCACAGAGGGCCAGGGCTCAGCAGTTCGGTGGCCTGCCTGCCTTGCAAGCGCAAGGACCCGAGTTCAATCCCCGGTACCAAAAAAAAAAAAGAAGAAGAAGAAGAAATTCACAGAAAGAAAATGGCACATAGGTGATCAGTAACAAAATTCAAGTCTTATCTGGGCATGGTGGTGCGTGCCTGTAATCCCAGCACTTGGGAGGAGGCAGGAGGATCGCTGTGAGTTTGAGACCAGCCTGGGCTACATAGTGACTTCCAGGTCAATCTCAACTACATAGTGAGACCTTGTCTAAAAAAGCAAACAAAACTCAAGTCTTTCCAAGATCTAGAATCCAGACACCAGAAAATAACAACTTGTTAAAGCAAAGATGACGAGCAGATCACTAGGAATTGGAAAGAAACTGTTAGTCCACAACACTGAAAAGGAGGAAGCAATTTGGACTCTCTCCACCTGGCTCTCAAAACTTGTGGGGAGACAAAGTGGGTTCTCTAGAACCAAGGCAACCACCCAGGCTGGGTGCTTCAGGGAGAAAAGGGAGCCATGTCCACACACAGACTCTGTGAACTGAAGAGGCACCCTGAGGTTGTGGTGCCCAGGGCTCCTTCCATGCAGCACAGGCACAGGCACTGCAATCACGCCAGAGTGCTTCATCAGGGGTCACTCCAGGAAGGGACTCAGAACAACTGAAAACATCACAGCAGGGCCACCGCTATTACCCTCCAAGGGTGACTTGGTGAGAGAACAGGAGGCAGTGCAGACAGGCTGCAGGCTTGAGAGAGCACCTGAAAAGTCTGAGCTCAGGCAGGGAGCAAACCAGCACTTAAAAAAGTATTTTAAAATATCCCAGAAAGAGACAATGAAGCCAATCATAAATTTAAAAAAACAATCTCATAGAATGACTACATCATGCAGAATAAGCAGTGAAGCAGGAGGGAGGAGTGAGCAACAGTAAGTAATGCAGTGACAGACATAAGCCAATCCCTTTCCATCATAGCTCTCAATGTGAATGCTCTCCATTGCCCATCAAAAGACAGAGATTGCCAGGATAGATCAAGAAACAATATCCAACAATATGCAGCATACAAAAAGCACATTTGATCCAAAAATAAATACACAGATTAAAAATCAAAGGATGGCCACGATACTGTATTCAACAGGAACATGGAGAAAAGCAGGAATAGTTATCATTACTTTCAAACCAAAACTGATCAGAGACCGCAAAGAAGTTTACTACACATTGGTTAAGGGAAGATTTCAGCAAGAAGAGATAATAATTATAAATATATATGCACCAAACAGTAGCATGTTCGAATTCATAAAACAAACACTACTGGACATTAAAAACCAGATAAACACAAACACAATTATAATGAGGAGTCAATACCCCACTGTCCAAAACCGACACATCAACTGGATTTTTAAAAATCAAGGAAATATCGGGCCAGGGATTTATTTAGCTCAGTGGTTTACCACCTGCCTTACAAGCACAAGGACCCGAGTTCAATCCCTAGCACCAAAAAATAAAAAAAAAAAATCAAGGGAATATTATAGTAGAAATAAACCTTAGAAAAAAATAGATTTAATACATATCTACAGAGTGTTCCACCCAACAACAGAATAAACATTCTCAGCAGCACTTGGGTTTTTCTCCAAAATAGACCAAATGCTAGTCTATAAGAATGGTTAAGAAAATGCAAAAGAATAAAATTTTGCCATGCATATTGTATCACAGTGCAATGAAACTAGAAATCAGTGGCAAATGAAATCTGAAATTATGCAAACATAGGGAAATTAAATATTCCCTTGATTAATCAATGGTTCACAGAAGCAATTACACAGTTCTTATAATCAAACAATGTCAAACGCTGGGGATTTAGCTCACTGGTTCTGCCACCTGCCTTGTAAGCACAAGGACCCGAGTTCAATCCCTGGTACCAAAAGGAGAAAAAAAAACAATAATGTCAGTAAAATATATTGGATTCTACAGAACTCAATCAAAGCAATCCTAATAAAGAAGTTTATAGATGAGAATGCCCACATCAGAAAAACAGAGTGAACCAAAATAACCTAATGATGTGCCTCAAGGTCCTAGAAAAACAAGAACAATGCAAATCCAAAGCTAGTACAAGGAAGGAAATCATAGACATCAGAACAGAAATTAATGAAATTGAGACACCCCCCCCACAAAAAAAAAAAAAACAAATCCACACACACAAAAAAATCTAAGAGCTGGCTCTCTGCAAATACCAAAAGGAGAAAAAAAAACAATAATGTCAGTAAAATATATTGGATTCTACAGAACTCAATCAAAGCAATCCTAATAAAGAAGTTTATAGATGAGAATGCCCACATCAGAAAAACAGAGTGAACCAAAATAACCTAATGATGTGCCTCAAGGTCCTAGAAAAACAAGAACAATGCAAATCCAAAGCTAGTACAAGGAAGGAAATCATAGACATCAGAACAGAAATTAATGAAATTGAGACACCCCCCCCACAAAAAAAAAAACAAATCCACACACACAAAAGAATCTAAGAGCTGGCTCTCTGAAAGAATAAATGAAATACACCAACCCCTAGCCAAAAGAAAGCAAGCAAGCCAGAAAAAAAAAAAAAAAAAAGGAATCCACCAAAATCTAAAAGATTATTAATAACTACTTTGAGAACCTGCACTCTGGTAAAATGGAGAATTCAGAAGAAGTGGACAGATTCCTTGAACTCTCAAAGCTGAACCAAAAGAAAGAAAAATCCTGAATAATCAAATATCAGGCAAAATGATTAAAAAAAATTTTTTTAAAGACTACCACCTTGGAAAATCCCAGGTCCCAAAGGATTCACTCCTGGATTCTGCAAGAACTTTAAAATTTAATGCCAATACTCCTCAAACTCTTTAATAAAACTGAAAGGGAAGTACTCCCAATTTCATTTCCAGAAGCTACAATTACCCTGATCCCCAAGCCAGAAAAAGACCCAACCAAAAAAAGACAACTACAGGTCAATCACTCTAATGAGCATAAGTGCAAATATGCTCAAAAAGATCATACACCATGACCAAGTAGGAATCAACCCAGAAATACAAAATGGTTCGACATATGCAAGTCAACACATCACATAAAGAGGACAAAAATGACAGGATTATCTCAACTGACTCAGAAAAAGCCTTTGATAAAATCTAACATCCACTCATCACAAAATTCCTGAAGAAAATAGGTTTAAAAAGAACCTTATCTCAATCTGATAAAAGTCATTTATGACAAACCTACTGCCAACATCATACTGAATACAGAGAGCTAAAAGCTTTCCCTCTAAAATGAGGAACAAGACAAGGATGCCCATTATAACCACCCTGTTCAATATAGTTCTCAAAACATCCACCAGAGAGATGATGCAAGAGAAAGAAAGAAAAAGTGATATATGTACAGGTAAGCAAAAAGTCAAATCATCATTATTTGCAGATAATATAATATGATCCTCTAAATAGAAGAACCAAAACATTCTACCAAAAAACTCCTGGGAAAACCAAACTCAGTGGTGTAGCAGGATACAAAGTCAGTACACAAAAATCAGTGGTGTTCCTGTGCACCAGTAATAAGACTCACCAAGAAAGAAATTAGGAAAATAATACTATTTGTGCTAGCATCAAGAAAAATTCACCTTAGGAACTAATTTAACCAAGGAAGTGAAAGACCTCTACGATAAAAACTATAAAACTGATACACATATTTATCACCATCTCAATCAAAATACCACCAGGATTCCTCACAGAGCTAAAGAAAACAATCCCAAAATTCATATGGAACCAGCAGAGACCCAGAATAGCAAAAATAATCCTGAGCGAACAGGAGCAAAGCAGGATGCACCACAATCCCAGACTTGAAGTTATACTACAAACATACAGTAATGACAACAGTATGGTATTAGCAAAAACACAGACATGTGCATCACTGGAACAGAACAAAGGATGCAGAAATAACACCAGGCAAAATCAGCTGCAGGATTTCTGACAAGAGGACCAAAAACATATGCGTGAGGAAAAACAGCCTCTTTAACAAATGGTTCTGAGATCCTCTTCCCATTTGAGAGATATCTGTCTCCCTACCTTGTATGGAGGAAGAGGGAAAGAAGAGTACGGGAAAGGGTTTGAAAAAATAATTAAGATGTATTATGTACATGTACCATTATGTACTGCAAACATGGCTAATTAAAAGATAAAACCAAAGATAAATGGTAC